TCTAGTCACAAACGCGCTTTCAACTTATTTTATGTTTTAAGCACTGGACATTTATTTAGTGTGTTTAGAGCCCACATGTTATTGGATAATTTTAATTTATCACATCCAAATATAATAGGCAAATATATAATACAATAAATTGCATTTGTACACATAAATACAAAATCTGAGGTAGGGCCTCAAGAATAATGACCTCTTAAATGAACACATACAGCATTATAATATGCACTACATGAGATATATATGATGCATCCTTTGTAATGTAATATATCTTCTCCACATATAGCTAATGGATAAAAAAATATAATGACCTTGTTAGGGTACAAATCTTTATCCATAGGCAGCAGTACCCCATAGAATGCCTGTAAATATATATATATTTATATATGACATTACGCAAGTAATTAAGATTTAACCCATCAGTGATGGGTCTGTAATAAAGTGCCATAGGACACAGGGCACAAATTCTCAGCTGGTGTAAATTGACACAGCTCCAGACAAAGCTGTGACAATTTATACCGGCTAAGCATCTACCTTACAAGGTACCCTACATAATATAAAGGACAGATAACAGCATGTTTTTTTGTCCATCAGTATTTTCCCAACAATGGAAGGTCCCTATAAGGCAAATGGCTACCTGAAGATGTCCTTAAAATGCTATGGGCAAATAATAATATTGCAAGCAATAAGGTCCAGCCTATTTCTCACATTTTACAGTCAACCCGTCAAGAAAACCTCCTGTCTTTGGTGATAGCCTGCCAAAATGTAGCAAAGGCAGAAACCCCAAAGCTCCAATTTTTCACCTTGCAGCCAGCATCCTGCACCCCTCCAAAGATTCAAGCTCTGACCGGTTCACCGAAACCTTACGTGCACATTTAACACCAAACTAAGAAGTGTCTCAATCATGCCAGGCACGAGCGTGGCATTAACAAACGTGGGCCAGCGCTTGCCATGGCTGCACAGCCTGCAATCCCCAACCCCTCCAAGCCTGCCTGCAGCCTTGATTGCAAGAAGTGACGTTGCAGGATGAGAAACCAACAGGAAAGCAATACCAGGCACAAATAAGTGATTGCTTCATCACAGACAGTATGAAATGTTATCTATACAACGGCACACATACTCAAAATGAAGACCATAGGTACTTAAAACACATTGAGATTCTAATACGATGGCAAGAGGCAGCCAAAGCACATGAGAGGTGGTGATCTTCGGTGCTGAGGCACGTCTACTGCGGTCAACAGAGCAGAGCGTAAGCAGAAGAACACTTTGCCTAAATGGAAACATCATATAAAGACAATGCAAGTCTTCCTCAAATTAAATATCATTTTGTTAAACTCTTCTTTTAGAAACAAGTGCTGCCGTGACTAGCTGAAACACAGATTTTTTTGAACACTGTATTAAAAATGCTGTGAAGAGTCAGAAGAATTTGAAGATGGCAAGAATTTGCATTAAGTGCAATTTTTAATGCATACAATAGTGCATCTTACTCATCCCAAAATCCAATTTCACTTCAAAGAAAAAATATGCAACAGAAGTAATTCTCACCATATTTGATCTTTTTTACTCAAGATAGATAGATCTGCAAGTACGTATGTCACAATTCTACTAATATGGCTTTTTCCTCTCCTTCTTTTAAAAAGACCTTTACTGGAATTTGATTAGATACTAAGCTTATTTCTAGAAAGTTATCAAAGTACATGCAAACTTTTCTAGAATATCGTAAATAAAGTGCGTTCCCAAGATGCAAGGTTACTTCTCATTTAAAGAAGACACTGCTGGTTAATTTAATCTCAACATACAGATTCGCCCACTCAAATATATGTTTTTAAGCCTAATAGGAAATTTTTTCCTTTTAATTTACAGTGAAAAAATTCAGTTCTTCTGTGATTTTTGTACTCATTTCTCTCTTGCTCCAAATGCCTTTGCAAGCCCCATTTTAGATGTTAAAGCTGAAGATAAAAATCAACTAAAAATTAAAACCATCATCCATTTTCAGAGTTTCAAATTCAAACCAAATCTTGTGCTAGTGACTTCTACAGACACAACATCGGCATGAAATTGCAAGCAGATTAATTACAGAAATCACAGAAAGCAATTCAAGTTTTTCACATGCATTCTGTTCTCATTATCCAAGCCAAAGGAAAGATATAACTTAGCAGTGGTCCTCCAAATAATATCCCTTTTGTACTTAAAGTAGGCAGTAGTTGACATGTGCTTACACCAAGGCAATTTTACTGCAAATATTTGATCCCAATTCAAATACATGTCTTGACATAACCAATTAGGAAGGGAAAGGATTGAGAATTATTAAGCAATTAAGGGTTTTCTTTGCTGGTTTGCTTTTTGAGAACAAACTCTATGGACATTTGCGTTTTTGGGGGTTTTTTTTGTTTTTTTTTTTTTCTTTGTTTTTCTTTTTGCTTTAATCACAATAGTAATTAAGTGAAACTGGACTGCTTTCCAAAAAACAAACCAAGACTTGAGATAATAGTGGTGGAGAGACCCCTAAAGCTGTTTATCCTGACAAAATACACAAATCCCACTAGATGGTGCTCCCTGATTCAGGTTCCTTTCTCGACCTCTGCAGATAGAAAGGCCGCCTGGAATTCATTTCCCTGGGCAACACAGTCCCCTCGCCCTCGCTGGGACACGGACGTCAACCTTCAGCTTGTCTGTATCCAACCTCAGGACATCAAACAACGCGCGGTGCCTCCAGCCTGCCATGCCTGGAGAGCCAAAATCCGCAAGAAGGGAGAACAGCGGCTGAAACCAGCGGGTGCAGCAGGAAGGAGGGTCCCAGTCCTGCTCCCGCTGGGAGCCGGCGGAGGAGCGGAGCACCAGGCCGGGCAGCAGCGCCAACGCGGCCGAGTCCATCCTGGCTTCGGCCAGGGCCCCTCGCTCATCCTGCCTGGGATTAAACATCTCCAGCAGTGCCTGTGGCTGGCAGCACAGAGTGCCCCGTGGAAGAGGAAGTTCAGCAAAATGATTAATATATTTAATATACATACATATACACACACATAGAGAAAGGAAGGTAATAATCTGTGGAAGTGTTACATTAAGGGTTTTTTTTTTTTTCCTCTCTTTGACAGGATGAAAACACATCTACTGATCTACAGACACACATGAACTGAAGAGTTACCTGAGACCCTGTAATATGCAGACAGACAGATAAAAGAACGGGGTAGAAACAGTCCCCTGAAAGGAAAGAACATTTATTGGCTACTACTAGAGTGACAGGGGGGAAGGGGAAAATCAAGCTAAACTACCATAAGTTCACCATCTCTACACAGATCAATAAGATACTTAGAGGGGCATAGAACATCACTAGTACACACTACGTGAACACGGATCACTTTTAAAAATATCATATATGTATGTATAGGATATAACAAGATAATAAAAGGTTACATTTTTGCCAATTATTGATGATATATTTTTCTCCTTCATTCTAGTGCATTTACAATAAATTGGGCTAATTTTCTATTCAGTTAAATAAACTTATTCTTAAAAGTTCTATTTTTACCCTGCCCAATAGGTAATAAAACTATTTAAGTCTAACACTTGAATTGCCACACATATATCTGAATGGTAATGATTTAAAAAGTCCTATTGCAATGTGATGGTCATTTACCAAGTCATCCTCTTCCCCAGCCTTCGCATTTTGTACATCCAATGATGCATCCACATGGATGATTACATTGGTTAATTGTCGGGCTTTTTTTTTTTTTTTTTTCTTTAATGAAAATGCTTTAAATGTAAAAAGAAAAGCTAAACTATGTTCATTCTAGAGAGAATACTGCTTAGTAGAATTTGTGTGCTATATATAATATATGGACAACCAGGGTTCTGTTATTTCCCTACTGGTTGAAAGAGAAGAATACATCTAAATGTTATAGAAAGATGTTTACAGGAGAATGGCTGGGGAGTCACAAAGTTGAACAGCACGTCTAGCTTCTAATACGTGGTGTCAGGTGGTAACTAGACTACACTTACCACTGTAAGAATACAAAATTAGGCACAAATTATATGATGGCTTCTTGAGGAGATACTGTAACAAAAGCAGAGAAACAAGGAAAACTATATTAAACTGTGCTTACACTTAATGCATAAGTAGTTTGCCAATGGGGCAAAGTTTTAGATGCTTGGTATAACCGAGGCATTTTTAATTGAAAAATCAAATATCAGATTAATAGAGGCAGATGAAAGTACTTAAAAGTGTGATGCCCATCTAGTCTGGCACTATTTCAAAACCATTTCCAGACACAGCTTGGTTCCCATCTCAAAAGGTTATTTTGAGATTTGCTTCCATTTCTCTACTGAAAAAGAGCCCGTAGGTATTACATTTCTGTTCCAAGTGCACATGCTATGTCCAAAGGTGAGGCTGGAAGGTGCTTTCCTTGTTTAGGCAACCAGTCCTCAAGCTCGGTATAATCTGTGCTCAACCAAACAAGCCGCCAGGGCCTGGGAACCAAGTCCTGCCTTCCTGGGTGTTGAGAGAGCCCCCGTGCTCAGGATTCACAGCAGAGCTGCAGAGCCCCCCGCTTGGCCTGGACCCCCCCAACACTTTCCTCACTTACACCCTATTCAAGGGCGGAACTTCACTTTTTTTATACTGGCAACATAACCCTAGCCCCACCATAGCCCTCTGGTACAAGGAGGCTTGTGTAAAATTGGTCAAATTTTGCTTGCCCCTTTAAACAAGCAAAAAATTTCAAGGGAATTTATTTGCTTGTTTTTACACCAGCTGACCAAAACTGGGATGTACCTTCTTCTGCAACAGGCTCTTGCTGTTTCTCAGGAATATGTCATGGGCATCACTTACCCCTGAAAGTGGTCTAGCTAGTTCTTGATTACAGCATGCAATGGCAAGTTTTACTTTCTAAGCAACCACTTTCAGGCACTGTGAGAAAGAAAAGAAAAAATGCTGGGAAATTAATAGGGAAAAAAAAAAGTATCCAGAAAGGTTGGCAACGTTATTGCCACTGATGTGGTAATTGTTAGCATTGGGTCCCCAGTTCTATATCCTTCACTGGCAGTTTAAGTCCCAGGGAGGAGGTTCCCAGTGGATCGATCATGTTCATGTAACGTTCACCACGGTGCTTGGCCAAAAACGGACCCCAGTCGGGCTGTGGAGAGCACACCAGCTTGAGCCGCTGCAACGTGGGGGAGACAAGAGAGAGTCTCATTGGAGATCACAGTGAGGAATCACAGTGCAGAAGCAAGGTTAGGCTCTCTTGTATTCATCGATGGCAGCCCTGCAGTGCTCCACTGCTGAGTGCTTGTTTCGCACTAAATTTGCAAGATTAATAGCGGATAAGATGCCCTGATTTTCATTATACATTCTTCCCCATACCAAAGGGAAGGAACTGAGTTCCACTTCTGCTGATTGCCCACCTTGCTTTCTGCAGGACTTGTGCTCAGTGAGTTAGTCCAGTTGTCTAAGCAGTGGGTAACTGCACTAAACTGTTTGGATTGCTGTTTAGTGTATATCTCCCAAAAGTATACAATTGACCAAAGAGGCACATTGTTATGAATGAAAAAGCATTTTAACTTGGATACAATAAAATGCTTCACTTCCACAGGAAGAAGAAAAAAAGAGAAGGTTAACCTGGCAAACAACAAAAATCATCTAATATTTCCACTGATTTCTTTGTTAAATATATAAACTTGACTGAAACATTTGTAGATAAAAAGGAAAGAAAGCATATTTCTGGCTGCTTGAGAGGGAACATTTATACTTTTATTACCTAAAAAATTGAATCAGGCCTCTATATCAGTTATTTTAATCTCTGCTTAATTGCCGGTTTGCAATCAACCATAATAAACTTATGCAGCAGACTCAGTGGTCTGGAAATACTGGGCTATAACCAAAATATCTTCAGCAAAACCCCCTTTGGAATAGATCCAACCTTTGGGCATTTCTTTGGGTGCACTGCCAGAGGAACGGTAGCAAGTTCATCCTATTTTTTGAGGCAATAGACATCCTAATTCCACCTAGATAAATTAGAATTGCTGCTTTGCAAACAAAGAAACAGAAGGCCAACTCTAATAGGACTTATTTCTAAGCAGGGCCCATGGTCTAGGCATCACCTGAAAATTAAGAGATGAAGAGCAAGTGAGTCTAATTTCTTATTAGCTTGTTTCCATCAGGAGCAGTTATCTCTACTGACCTGTGCACTCCAACACGCTCTGTGCAAGGACTGAATGGTCCTTTAGACAAGTGGCCTCGTTGCCTGGGGCCAATGTCCTACCACTTAATGTTAACTCCTTTGCTCTATATGAAACAGAGAAGTGTGGCCTTTTCCTTTAGGCACAGGCAGTGTGACACACCAAGAGACAAAAAAAAAAAAAAAAAAAAAAAAAAAAAAAAAAAAAAAAGCATTTTAAAGCCCAGTTTGTTTAAGAAAAACAAAGACTTGAGGAGGGGAGAAAGCAAAGACCGTCAGCTAAGTTTTACAACCTTGAGAATGAGGCCTTTCTGTATTTCTCACTGTTGAACTTTATGAAGCGGCAAAACTTTCTGGAAGCCACTGAGGGCATCTCAGATACCTGATGGTCTGGCTTCTTGCAATCAGCTAACTCAGCTTGCACAGCTCACCAGGCTTGTTAACGTGTGGTATGCACAAACATTTGAGACTTCTGCATGCTGCTTTTGCAAAAGGGGCCAATAGAGCTAGAAAAATGCACTTTCTAGCAGTGACACCATTCCAGGGCTTATGAGATCTGCAGCTCCTCCTTGTTTTCATAAAAACATTCACTTAATTTAGGAGCATTTTGTTGAGAAGCAGGGAACAGAAGGGCTGTGTTTCAAATTACTCAGGTATATCTTTGCAACATAAAAACAATTTAACCAGAAAGTAGTCCTAGCACCATTAGCCATTCAATATTATAAAAATCGATGTAAAAGAGCCTCCTGTGACCATACTTTTAAGCAGAAAAGACAGAAAAATTACCTCAATAAATTTGCCAGGGGCTAGATGCATTTTTATTACAAACATTATTGGGATCCAAATAACTGAGCAGGCCAGCATCAACCACCCAAGGACCATGGACCAGGCTGGATAGTGGTAAGCTCCGTAAGTCATTGGTTCCCATTGGTAAAAGCTGAAGCAGAGAATGAACTGGAAACAAAGAAGGAAAAGTTATGCTGCAACAAACAATACAAGCCTGCTGTGTAACTAGTGGTAAGTATCCACAGGTTTGGTGCATATATAAGAAAAATAAAAGGATGAACATTGAGGCAGAATGCTCACACAACTGTAATAAACGGGTCAGAGTCAGAATCTACTGAGTTTCATGTAAAACTTGCAAAACCCCACCAAAATCACCGTATTTATGCCAGAGGAATTGAAATCAAAATCTCGCCCCTAGAGTAGTATGCTTTATTACACGGTGTATTGGCAGCTTGTGTGATCATAATGTGATCATAACTTATTCCATTTGACTTGCCATATAAATAGCAATATATCTGCTTACATTTGTGCATAATTCAGTAACTTTTGGGAAATGCCTATGCTCGCAATAATTGCCTGTGGAAGATGAATAGCAATATAGCTGGGTGAAAGCACATACAAAAATAAACAGCTTTATTTCCAGAGATGTGAAATAATTGAAAGCCTAATATTAGATTATTCAAAGGTAACAAATACTAGCTTTGCAGGGACAATAATACAAAAAAAACCAAAACAAAACAAAAAGAAAAAAAAAACTTGGTTTTTCTTTGTCTATTTCCACTGTGTAAAAACTGAATTATGACTGATCACAACATCAAATGGTTTCTCACTATAAGCTGATGTTTTGAGGGAGCAGCAACAGAACGTGCAGATTGGAGATGACCTGGTTTGCTTTCCATAAGAGACCAAAATTTCCTATTCCCTAGCCCTGATTACTGTTAGTAGCAAGTCTGATCAGTAGAGAAATTAAGCTGTTTGCAAAAAAGCGTTTTAATTCCATGAAGTGTATCAGTGGTTCTATGACAGGACCTCAAAAATAGCCCTCAAGATAAAATACATGGGCCTGTTTATACATCATGCTACTATTGTTTGAACTGGACTACTTTTAACTTTTCAAAAATGGATTTATCAACCATAGCTACATATTGTCATAACCAAACAATAGTTACCACTAGCTAAACAGGAGAGGTTTATCTGCTTTGAAATGCAGTTAAATACTACATTTCAATCAAGGCATTTGGTAAAGAACATCTGTTAAGGCAGGTAAGCTATCTTCATTATGCCTTTTTTTTTTTTTTAGAAATTCCCTTTATCTTAGACAATTTCTTCTCATTGAAACTGAAGATTTTGTTGAGTTAACCAAAACAAGCTATTTCCTCCACACATATACTGCTATCTGCAAAACAAACAAACAAAAAAACCCTCTTCAATTTTCAGGGAACAAAAAGAAGCCTAATTTATGAAATAACAACAGCTGAAAGGAGTTTACCAATCATCTTCATCTGGGAAGCTGCATTTATTTTTTTCAGAAATTAAATTCAAAAAAGCTTTACCAAAGTTATCTACTAAGGATCAGTAGAAATGTGAGCTTGTCCAGGTGTAAGCAGAAATGATACTTCCCTAGAAGCAGAAACTGAAAATGACTACAGACAGCTTCTTCACCTACCTGGGCAATATTATCATTGCTTCAAAATGTGTGACTTTTCAGAAATTCTAGTAGCCATTCTTCCCGATAGAAACACTACTGTGAACTATTTAGTATTACTGTAAAATAATAAGCTGTTAAATCCCAAAATACATCCCGATAATTTTGCCACCTCCAACGTTCAGCCCTAGAGCAGATTCCCTTCAACACACAGCCCTGGCTGAGGAAGGCCCATTCGTCCTGTCCTGACTCTGCTATTCAGTTTACTGGGATAAACGATTTGATTTTTATGTGAAAACATGACAACAGCACCCAGTAAAATTTAGGTTAAATTACCAAGGAAACTTGGTGTTTCAAAGTCAGATGCTCAACCTAGATATAGCAGTAGCATTTTGACCTGTGCACATGTGCATTCAACAACTGCAAGACAGAGAGCACTCGATTTTTTAAATGAAATGGTGAACTAAATTAGAAGCATAACACGAAAGTACTCCAGGTAGGAGGGAGAAAAAAAAAAAAAAACAGTTTCTAAAAGTATTAATTTTGCTTATCTTTTTGTAAACATGATGAATGTGCAGGGAAGTCCTGTTTCCCCATTAACCTCGACAGAAAAAAATCCTTGCTTCTCTCCCGCAAAGCCCGTTTCCTTGGTAAAATTCATCCACCGTGGGCCACATCACGACAGAAAAGGGCTGTCCTGAGCGGTGCAGAGCCTCCAGGCCCTGCCAGCCCAAAACTGGAAACCAAAGTTACTTTTTCTTCTTTTTTTCCTTAAAAAGCAGAAGTTGACATAGCCATTTCAACCTTTGCAATAACATCTTCATCTTTCTAACTAAAGCTTTGTCACTCACATTTCCATTCAAGCCTTTCCAGAGCATTAAAGCATGTCTCTCTTGGGCTGAGCTACAGAAAAACATTTCACTGAATGCAAGAACGGACAGAAGAATCATACAATTCTCCCTCTCTTTCTCTTACATACACATATCAAACACACATATATACAACAGTTAAAACATACTGGTATGCAGCAGGATACTGTACCAGCATTTTGTACAGGCAGGGGACAAATACCTTTGGAAACACACCATCCCTCTCTGCCAAAATCCCACTACTTAAGCTCTATTTTACCTACCCTACACATGCAGGGACACATGCACATGTATGTGTACGCCTAGGCATCTAGTTGATCAACAACCAAGATCTAATGATTACTGTTTGGAAGCATCATGATTCCCTGAGAAACAATTTTGATTATGTTAACAAGAGCAAAAACACCTTAGAAGGTGACATTTGGAAATTTTCTGCTTACTGTTAAAATAGTGGGGGTCACAAATGCCCAACAGACTCTCCAGAATTTGCTTGGCTGGAATCCAATCATCATTTCTATATCTTCACAAAATCTTTGCAATCCTGTAATAGCAAGCGTAAATACAGTTGGGGTGAAAGAAACCAGCCACAGTTCGTAACAAGGCTATTGAGATCTCCCTAGTGTCTAGTTATAACAACAAACTCTGACTTTCTGCTTGAAAACTTCAGTGGATGTGCTCACCACACAACAAGAAGTGAGAATATTATGGTGGAAATAATTCCAATCAAATACTTGCTTCGTAAACGTTGTAAAAGTGTAGCTGCTACATAGAGATTAAGCATTCAGTGTTTCATATTAATGTATTAATAGAATGTATTGGTTAGCTGCAATTCTGATCCTATTTGATGCTTTTTGCTATAAAGATAACTTTTATTCATAAATGTAATCATATTTCTTAAAAACACAATGCATGGTCATTAAAGATTATCATCTGAATACCTATTTCAACATAGACAGCAACTGAGCTTCTCTATATCCTTTAGCATTGAAGCTGATAATGTCCTGCTATTTTTCAATTGATAGATAAGCTGTACTTTGAATTATTAGAGAGCACCTATAAAGATTTTGATTTTTATCTTATGTAGTCAGATCAAACAAAATTGATAGATGTGTTAGTGTTAATTCTTCAGGTTGTTGTATTGATTGCACCTATATAGTTACCTGAATAAATAAAAAACCCAAGATTCGAAAAAGATATTTCTGCTATTTCTTCCTTCTGTGTGAGCTCAGTGCCATGACAACATCCATGGATAATACTCAGTCCTGCATTATGTGTCACAGAAATACAACTCTTATAGAACTCTATTTTTGGAGCTCAAAGACAACATTATTTTTGCTTTAAACAAAAATATGTAGATCATGTTTGGACCTCCTAAGTGTTGAGGAGCCATACTCTGTTCACTGAATCCGGTTACCACCACCCATTGTATTTTGCATTGATCTGTAATTGCAAAAGTGAACATATTACCAAGTTCATTCATCTGGCCCTGTCTTATTAATTAACCTAGGTTCACTATTTTGACTCACTAAGAATCTGTCCCCATATCTGAGAATATCTCCAACCTGGGGCTGCCTCCTCAGCCACCATGTGGAGACAGGATGGGGCTTGACATGCTGGAGGGAACTGAGTGAGGAGGGAAGAATTTGCAAAAGAGTAATAAGCTGCTTTATGCTTATTGTCCTTAAAACCAACCACAACAGCTGCTGAACGTAAAGAAGAGATAATCCCTAGTCTTGATCCACCTAATTTTGAAGCCTTTCTGTTGATATGGAGGAGAATTTAATCTATCCACATGTCTGTCTGCTCTCAACATTGAGAAAAGATGGCCCAGCATATAAAAAAAAGCAGTAGTTCAATATTGCCTATCTTTGGGTGCATCTGTGTTACATAGTCACCTCTAAAATAAAGAAAGGCTAGGCTGGATTAAAAATGAGGCTGAGCTCAGACAGTGAGAACAGAGTAAGTCATCTTGGGCAAAAATCCCAAAGTTAAATCAGTGTCATTTACGCTTAAAAAAAAAATGTGAAAAAAGTCAAGATAATATACATCAATACATTTTAATTTCAAATAGTTTTGTGCAATATTTTACTCAAACATAAGAATCTTTGTATTTATCTATGGATCTGGCTTCATGTTACAGAATACACCACTGGGAATTAGGCTGATGATTGCATTAGTATCCAGAGCTCTAAATTATTCTTTACAAATCACGCGTCATAATCTCAACAACTGGATAATAAAAATCTAGGCCAGCATGAGGCAGCATTTGACTGGATTACGTAGCATGAGCTCTAATGAAGAACAAGGGCTTGCAAGGACACTAAGTGTGCCCCAATTTAAAAAAAATCTCAACAAACTCAGCAAGCAGAATATGTAAAAAGAACTAAAAACAGATTTATTTCCTCATAAAAGCACCTACTAGTATTATGCCAACCTGCTTGCTATGAAGAGCACAAGTATACATAGAAAAGTGTCTGCAGAATGCAAATTAAGCCATTCTCTGAGACTGAAAATATATTAGACCATTTTAAGCACTGGAGCACAAGAGCAGCCGCTTCATTTCTATTGCAACATGCAAATTGCAAATACACAATCTGCACTCCTGTGAACAAAATCCTCCTAAAAGTAGCCTTGATGCAAAAAAGTAGCTGCAGTGCATTACAGAAAGAAGAGTTGTAAGATCAAGATTTGTCTTACAATCTTTATTTTTGGTGCTGAAAGAATGAATGCTATTTAGTCTAACAAAATGTTGATTTTAGGGAATAATTTCTAATTTTTTTTAATCAATATTTGCTGGTAGTCTTTGATTTACCAATTGCTTGGTACAGACAGAACATGGGGCAGGGCGGGGAACAATATTTTCCAAGCCTAATCACATGAAAATAATGTCCTAACTAGAAATTTGTCTCATCTATTCAAATTCTTACTAACACTCTGACTATTCTTCATTATTATGTTTCTTTCAAGAATATATATATGTATATATATATATATATATAAAGGGAAAATGTATTTGCTGGAAGAAAATGAATGCAATTTTGTTCACAAGTGCAATAAAATGTTCCATAAAGGCAGGTTTGTGGCACTTCTGCCACTCAGTGTTCAAAGGAGGAATAGATCCAGTATTTTCTCCATGTAAACCTTCATGTGCATTCAAAAACGTACACAAGTGATGACTTAGTGATGCTATTGATAATGCTGACAAGGAAAGGTGACATGATGCAATGCTTTTAACCAAGCACCGTTCACACATGTGCTGAGGGAAAATATATATATATATATATATGTATGAGAAAAAAGAAAAGATAGAACCCAAACCCATGCTCTTCCTGAGTACTTCAAATCATTTCTTAAAAAGATTCACTCAATCTCAGCAAAGCTAGGAAGTCAGTACAAGCACCAGACTGACATGAAGTGCTTGGTAGGATCATAAATTCAAGCTAATTCTGTACTCTATGCACAGAACTGGATATAGATATACATATATTTTTTAAAGGTGTTAACTTCAAAGATGACAGTTCAGAAACTCTCTGAGCCGTGAAACTGTTGAAGCCTCTGAATAAGCCTCTGAAGATGGTTTGCTCTTTTCTTATACTCATCTCTAGACACTGGCTTTAAACTACAGGTAGAAAAAGGACATTAAGCTAAATAAGATAGTCTTCTGTATGCATACAGTTAGAGGAACCCTATAGTAATACAGTTTCATAACTCATCAATTTAAAAAGATGTTTCTGAATTCTTATTTCTTAGTGTTTGGGTTTTTTTTTTTTTTAATATTACCTGTTAGAGTTTCACGATAACATCTACATTGCTGTACATGAAAGTGTCCCTTTTTGAAAGTGTCCCTTTTACATGGGCTGTCTGATAACAGTATTTTTTCTTACCGTATATATAGGAAACTCCAACAAGCTCAAAGATGGCAATGATGACAAGAGAATAAGAAGCTGCATAAGTGTCCACAAGCTGTAACATGTACATTCCACCCTAAAGGAAAAAAAGGCAGAGAAAAAAAAAGCCGTTACTCAGGGCATGTACCTGCCATTTTTCTTGTGGTACCTGCATACCACAATTTCCCCAGCCCACAAATAGCACTGAGATAGGCAAAACAAACAGGAGCAAAAAGCAGAGGATATGTCTTAATCTGATAGCTAGTCTTAGTTAGTGGGAGAAATTGTTTTCTGTCTTTTCAGATCAGGGAATGAGCTGGAACCAGATCTTCCCTCATAAGTCTCTGGGGCCAGATGGGATCCACCTGAGCGGAGGGAGCTGGCAGAAGCGCTCACCGAGCCGCTCTCCATCATCTATCCGCAGTCCTGGTCAGCAGGGAGGTCCCAGATGACTGAAGATTTGCCAATCTAACCCTCATCTACAAGAAGGGTCGAATGGAGGATTGAGGAATCTACAGCCTGTCAGCCTGACGTCGGTATCGGGGAAAGTTATTGAGCAGATCATCTCGAGGACAACCACACAGCAAGGGGAACTGGAGATGCATGTGCGATTGCAGGGCCACGATCTCATTGCAATTACTGGGACACGGTGGGACAGCTCTCATGACTGGTATGTGGCCATGGATGGCTTTCCACTTTTCAGGAAGGACAGGCCAGGAAGGCGAGGTGGTGGAGCTGCACTTCACATGAGAGAACAACTGCAATGTATGGAGGTCGGCATAAGGGAGGACGAAGCACGGGTCAAGAGCCTGTGGGTGAGGATTAAAGGGAAGGCCAAACTCCACAGTTTTTTTTAGGAATATCAATGTATATCCAATTTGTACATATATGAAAAGGCACCCAGAAATGCTGTACAGTTTTATACACTATATAAACTTAAATAAATAAAACCACAGAGAATAGATATTTCATGTGCCTAGTTTGGGAATACTTGGTTAACAGCCTAATTTTCAGAAAGATTTGAGCAGCCAAATCTCTCAGAACCTGCAAAAAAAAACACAGCTTTCAAAATTGTCCATGCACATTTAATGCCATTAAAGAGGTTTAATCTTATGCAGCTGTTTCTTACACAAGACTAGGACAGCCACCAGAGGGGGACTGGGGACAGCCAGCGTTGCTCAAAGGCAAAATCTGAGGAATTACCTGAGTAATCATAGGAAAACCCATAATGAAGAAGGAAACGCAGCACCCAAGAGTGAACAGTGCCTTGTGTGTACGTAAGTATTTGGGAAACTCATCCGAAACAGAGGTCACTATAGTCTCAATAGTGGCAAACTGAAAGACAAAATAAAAGAATCAATGCATATTACATACACAGAATAGTCTAACTGGTTACATTGAAATATGAGACAGAGTTTAGAGACTGAAACACTAAATGCTCGGATGCTAATGCTGAACTTCATCTAAAGGAACGAAACACTGGTGGCTTCGTTTCGTTCTTCTGTTGACAGAAGCATCTGATTGAACACATAGCTCATGATCTTCAGGACAAGTAAATCGATAGAGTGAGAGGAAAGACAAGGGAAAGAAAAGTCTTACCATGGTGTCCAGTCCAAGCGTCAGAAGCATCAAAAAGAATATTATAGCCCAGAAGGGAGAAAGGGGGAGCCTTGTTAAGGCTTCTGGGTAAACCACAAAAGCAATTCCAGGACCTAGAAATGATAAGAATAAAGGCTGGGGTATCTTGCCTCACATTAATATTGTTGGTCAAGTGGAACAGAAAGAAATAAGAAGAGTCATGTTTTAAAATAGAATACAATATCACTGTGCTTGAAAAAAGTTCTTCTTGTTTCTTCCAAAATTTGCAGAATTTAGCCTTACATGATTCATTTTATTTTGGCTGTAAATTTCACAGTGTTCATATACTCCTACTTTCCAGGCAGCAAAATACATGTTTACCCTTACCACGCTGATACAAATAAGAAAAACAAACAGAAATTCTGCATTGGGTCCACGTTTCTTTCCTGCTCTGTCGTCCAATTGCCCCCAGCCCGCCATGGTCCGCTCCTGTTTGCAGCCTGGACATCAGATGGACGTGGCAGCCCTCCACAGCTCAGTACTACAAAGATTAATGGAAAAGAAAGCACTCCACTTCACCCGCACCTAACCAGACAAGTAGGACAGCAGGTAACAAAGGCACAGAGCTAATTTCAGGCACGTGGCAATAACTGCTGTGGATCTAAAATGAAACCACAAAAAATACCAAACTAATGCACAGCAGAAAGGATATGGAATTTATGCTTTTTTCACAAGTATACTTAGATCTGCTGGGGAGGAAGATGCTGCAAGAATTTGGTGGTAGATAACAGCAGATGGCATTTCTTCCCTATTCTTACCAGCTAAAGTAATGCCAACCACAATGGCTCAGGTGAGACATAAATGCGAGTTAAATTAAGTTAAATTCTTTGACGGGAGGAGGTGCAAAATCGCACTGTCCTGGCCACTGCTAATCTGGGTTATAAAATCCCATTTCCTACTGCTCCCCATGTTGTTTCTGTTAAAGAGGTGGCTGCTGCTTTCTCATGCACTGAGAAGAAAACACAGTTTTAGCAACTTGTCCACAGGTAATTCATAAAGCACACGGGAATCCTTCTGAATAAGGACAACCACAGGTTAGCACTACTGTTAAAAGCAAAAACCTATACATGACTCAGCAATGTTGCTGTCTTTAAAATTTGCTGCGGACAGTTTTTTGGAATAGACAGGTTCATATGGAAATATTGCCTGTTCACAAACATCTTTCATTTCTTCATGAAAAAAAATCTTCATGACTGTTAGAGAAAGGGGCTCTCCTGGCACTAGCTTTATTTATAAGTTTAAATCAAGTCTTAAATCAGTTGCCAGTAATCACAGCCTTCGGAATGGTTTAATTATGCAAAATGAAATTGCACATCTCTCCATCTTGACCCCTCATAACTCAAAAACAGGCGGTGCCAGTTAATGCCCACAACATCCAAGCACAGGCAAGCCGGCACCAGCCGCTCCCTGCCTGGCCCTCACCCCTCTGCGCAAGCACAGTTCTGCAAAATAAACATTTTTGGAGATTAGGGTGCGTGTAATCTTCTGCTAAAAGGCTGTAAAAGTCAGAGAAATTGTCTAAGACTTCTACATGTCCCGCAACAAAAATTCTAATTACTTCAAACTTTTATTCTAGATTTTGAGAAACTTTCAACAGCAGTAGGTCCTTATTCAAAACGTGAGATTTAGAATAGAAGAGAAATAGATTTTCCTGTCTGTCCCATCATTAAAATTGTCCTTTTTTATAATGTATACAATGTTTCCCAAAAGATATATATATATATATATATAAAATATGAGAATTTTTTTTTGATTTATACTTTAGAAAAAGTAGGTAAAAAAAACAACAGCAACAAGAAAAAATTTCTCTATTTCTATTAACTATTTCACTCAAAGTTTGGGAAACGAGGTTATGTTAATAATTGGTTATGGTAATAACTAATAAATTAGGTTATCTATAGCCATTAGTTTTGCTATTTTCTTCTTTTCATCAAAAAGTGGCTAAAACTTATCATAAAGCCAGGAGGATGGGGACAAGGAGTTTCTCATTTTCCCCCCTTGCTGTGTCCACTTTTTAATTTTATTTTCAACATGCTAATGCAGTCAACATTTTTTCCAGTTGTCACTGTCCTCCTGGTGTAGAGTTTTCTTCTATTAGGGGACTAATTTTTATTCCCCTATCTCTGTGGAAGTGGAGTGAAAAAGCCAATGAGGCATTTTTAAATGGCTTAAACGGGTCATACAACTGCAGCAACGGCCCCACAGTAAGATGTGTCTGCTGAGAGCTTTTCTTACAATTTCTTACTCTTGAATAACTGCCAGAACAACTGGAAACAGAGATCCACCATGTGAGCACTCCCTTATTCAAAGGCCTCTAACAAGCAATCCACAGAGAAGAATATGGAACTTGGCTCACTTGAAATGGCCAGGGAGATGAACGAGCCTAACAAGATGTTTTCTACCTCATCTCTAACAGCTACAATTCTCCATCCCTCATGCCATCAGTCCCTTCGGAGTTTCCATTATATCTTCAGTTGAGCACATGCTTCTTTTTTTTTTTTCCTCTTCTTTTTTTAATTTGAAGTTAACATAATTAATTACTGCACAATAATTTCTGTAACCGCAATGCAGTTTGGATTTGTGGTGGGGAGATTTTTTGCTTCAGGCCTGAAGCAAAGGCTAAAAAGATTAATGGAAACATTACTCCTAACACACTTGATTTTATAGCAAGGACTTTGCTAGCACTTTCACCAAAGTGAAAGGATCAAGACTGGGAAACTACCACAATAGAGTGAATGAGAATATGCATACAAGCAGTTTTGAGAGCTGAATCAGAATAAGAAGGTCTGAATTAGAAATACACTACAGATTTTTCTTGACATTTAATAGTCCAACAATCCACACCAAAAAGCAGAGTTAGTACTTTGAATGGCCTCTGCTTTTTTGAATCCATGTCATTGTAGCCCAAATAATTCCTAATGACTCGGAGGGCACCAAAGAATTTTTCTGAGGACAATTACAGCATCCAGTAGGAAAAGAGGCCATAAACAAAGGGCTCCAAAACAGCTGATGTCTTCTTAGCTTTTGCAGGAGACTGTCCTAGGGAGCAGGGAAATTCATGGGAAGAAGATGCTAGAAAATGGGAAGGATGGATGGAAGAGGATGCTAGAAGGACCAAGGCACACTTATGTTACCTAGTGAAGTCAGAAACTGCACTAAAACCTTTTCTATTCATACTTACCAGACTTCTGGACCAAAAAAATGCCCTGTCAGACTCAAGTGACATTATTTTGGCTTGCAAGGGCAGTATCCCTAACTACTTGTTACAGGCAGCAGTTTGCCATCCATCCATCCTAGGAAGTTCGCCTCTCAAACCCTTGAACTGGGTCCACAGCACAGCAGGACCCTGACTAACTTCCTAGAGCTGAGCTGCAGTTCACCAGCATTTGTGCTGCACTTTAACAACCCCAGTTGATACTGGGATTAAATATGACTTGATGTCTTTATTGGTATCTCTCTTGTCAGGAGACACACGGCAGAGTCCATTTGTTGATGCACGTTTCAGTTTTCGGAGAAGGAACAGACAAACATGAATTAAGAGCCTTTTTTCCCCCCTCTCGCTCTCATGGAAGAAGGAGAAGGAAGCTTCAGCTGCATCACTGGCTACTGTTTCTACACCAATAGGTTTTATGAACAAGGCAGGACTACAGAAATTATCCCTTTATTAACCCATCAGATTTTTTTTTAACTCTTTAGTTTTCTCCAACTCTTATCCCCAAAACTCCTCCATTTCCATCTCACACATCTTCATACCATGTAACAGCACCAATTTATCCATCTGTCACACTCTTTTCATTCACATTCAGCTCTATCAGTTAGGACCTTACCAAACCCGCTTATAACGGTTTCAGTTTGCCAACCAGGATCTTCAAATCTGCACCATTGCAATAGCAGTTCTGCTCATCTTTTTTTGTTTCCCTATTGAGGCAACTCCTAGCTCCCACAGCTCAGAAGCTCATTTCACCACTTAGACTGCATTTCGTCCCCTTGCCCACATCTCAAAGCCTTTTCATCCAAGATTCTCACCATTCAGGACACTTTTTACCTTCAAGTGGATGTGACAAGGCAGCAGCAGAGGCAAGAAAGAGGGCCCAGTGACTGCTGGAGTATATGAAAGGGAGATTTCACCCCAAAACAGTGAGTCATTTACATAGAAAATAGAAATCACACTCAACTGGCTACTTACTCTTATCAAACAAATGATAAGGAGGCATTAAGTGAGGCCTTCTTGACTTTACAGTGACAGTAATTGCTATACAACAATTCAGCAGTACAGAGATGCCGACAAGAGATTTACTAATCCAGTTTGAAGCCACTATTCCCATTTCCATCACCAGTGTTATCAGCTGAAAGTGCCACCATGCACCTTCACCTGGCCCTTCAGAATCTGTCTTAGGCACCCAAAGGGCAGAATACTGTACCTTGGTCTGCTACAGCTTCAATGTTTACTTTCAGTTCATTCGCCATGAAGCCAATAACCGAGAAGATGACAAAGCCTGCAAATATGCTTGTGGCACTGTTGGTGCATGTGACTATCAACGTGTCCCTGGAAAAAAAACAAGACAAACAAATCCTCATCACTTTGTTGTAGTACATGCAAGGAAGGGTTTCATATTTGCCTCAGGACTCCCTCGAGCGAGGGCACACACTCTATGGGAGTGCAGCTGAAGGTACACCATCCCAAACCACATCCTTTTACACATTTAAAGTGCATTCCACACTAATCTGAGCAGACAGGTCTTCACCGTACCTGCAATAACCCACTGTACAGGTCTTCTTCACCCATGTACCATACAGAGGCTTCCATCAGGCCAAGCCGGAGGCTGGGCATTTCCAAAGAAGATAGCAGTGAAGACACCATTTGTAACAGGCCATCCTGCTTTTTGCCTGTGGTGCTCATGGTATGGCATGCAGGCTAACCACTACAGCCCAGTTACAGGGCAAAAATTGCTGTATCTTTCTTATATTTATGCAGCCTTTCATAGTTAAGCTTTCTACGCTCTGTGGCATTCCTTTAGCACCCTCCAGTATAACTGGAATCCTCCTATAAAGGATTCTCTGGTACCATTTTCAGCTGTCATTATTATGGGAACCTCAAGAAACCCCTACGTGAATATCATGCTAAATTGTTTTGGCATGGGTAACTTCAGAAGAAACAAGCTATTGTGATCCTTGCCCATAACTGTTACAGTCTTGGTGGGATTTTTATTTTGTCCTCCAAAAGCCATAAGACTTCCCCTTAAATTGCTAATGCCCGAGGAGCAAACCATTCACTTAGTTTAAAAGATCTTCAGCATTTTGCACCTTCTTACTGTGATTTTCTTGTCAATGACAGAATGAAATACGACCTAGAAACCTGCCAAGAACCTCACAGATTTGTGAGCTTTGGAAATCTCTAATGGAGCATCTTATGACATCCTGATTCTTCAGATCTATAGAAGAAATGACAACGTTCTGTTTGCAATCAGCATGTGTTAATCTTCTTCCAAAATCCAGCTAAATTTTAAATTACATATACACACATATATCCACATATATATGCACACATGCATATATGTACCTGCACATATATACATGCATATACACACACGTCTGCATAATTGGAAAGGAACTCATTAAAAAACTATTATAATTTATTTCATTATGTTTAAAAAGGACACAACAAACAGAATTATATCTGCAATCTTAGAAAGTAAAGAATGTAAACATTGAAAAGGAAAATAATTGTGCTTCATTTAAGTACGGAAGGTGTCTTGTAAGATTAATCAAATCAGAACCAACTAAGCTTTTCTAATTATTTCTGCTTCAGTCTCCCAAATTCGCCTCTACTATACTTAAGGAAGGTATTTAGTTTTAGACCTTTAAGATTTTTATGCTTCAATACCATGTATTTCATTCAAACATTCTATTAACATCTCCAAGCCCCATAAACCATTACTAAATTAATGCAGAAAGGTAGCATGATGACTGTCCTTTTTTTTTTTATTCCCGCCCTGATATTCTGAAGCAGATTTTCCTAGGCTAGCTGTTTCCATTCGTCAGCAACCAAGCAAAACAAAGGACAAGCATTTTTAAAAGTAGGAGAAGAAAGACTGCAGGGTAAGAATAACTGAGGGCACAGCACTGCTATCCATTCATCCATATCTCTAGATAATTATATTAAAGGACTTTTGAAAACTAATCGGAAATGTCTGAGTGATTCTCTTGTAAAATCCTGATCCACATTTTCTAACAATATCAAAATCTGTTCTGTCTACAGTGGCAAAAAATGCAAGTACTCAAAACCTCACAGGATACAGAGGTTCAAAACCCAAGGAGAACATTCTCCCAAGTCTTAAATTAAGGAAGTTTTGCAGTCATTTCCGCGGGACAGTCGCTGCATGTGCTGGAGACTGTCTCAAATGGAACTGTTGACATTACAGGAAGCCATAAAGTATCTTCAGCAGGTACCAGGCCCGCTCTAAAGGCAATATATGAATGAAGCAAAGGAAGAGGAGGGAGCATGCAGATTAGCAGAAAAACTTCTGTTTTTTTTTCCTGCCTGCAAATGTTCTTTTGCATACTTTTTGAAAAAAAAAAATCCTATGCCAACAGAACAATGGTTTTCCTTGCAGAAATAACGCATTTGCTGATTTCAAATAAAGTCATTTCAAAAATTACAACCAGAGATAGCTCTGTGCATGCAAAACCAGAACAAGTACAACTGCAAAAGCAATATTTTCCCTTGGAGACACAAGAATCATGCACACAGGAATTGCAGATTACACTCTTGCTTGTCTCACACAATGACAAACTTGAGCTCATTCTGCACATGGGTTGTTCTTCCACAGAGGTTGCCAACTGGCTCCATTTCATTACGTTTTTCACAGCTGTTGACAGCCTCACATAATGCTTTTCAGCTTAAAACTGCTGATTCTAAAAATGGATAGCCACGAGCAACAATAATAAGCCCAAGCCTCATCTACAAGATTTGAATGCAGGGAAGAAAAAAGAAAAAAATAGAGGTTCTCTTTTCTATCTTTTTACAGATTTCTGCAAGTTCGAAGATGACTGTGATTTTGGTCAAGGCCACTTTAATCAGATTGATGGATTTCACTCTCACATACCTGTAGCAATTATTATGGAATTTGTTGTAAGAAGAGAGAGTAATTAAGCCTCCCCATGCCGCAGATAAGGAGAAAAAAATCTGTGTGGCAGCATCTTTCCAAACCTTAAAAAAAGAGAGAGGAAATACTATCAGCTTATCAGCTTCAGAGAAGAATTTTAGAAAGATCAATAACACTATCAAGCATATATTACTGTTATAGGGAATTAACACATAAATAGCTCAAAAGAACTATAGAGCAATAAAATACAATTTAAGAGCAAAATCTTGCCCCGAAATATGTAATGCTAACTGATTTCTAACTGATTTAGACTTTAGAGTATTATTGTATTTATACAATACAGCCAGTCTAAAAAAAGACAAGATAACTTTTGCCATATACAGAAGCCACAAATATTCAACAAGCTAAGGTGTTTGATACACACCAATTTAATACTTTGAGCACGGCAAATGCAAATCAAAAAAAAAAATCTATATCCAGAAAAACTGATGGTTTATCTAACACTGGCGAAAATAATACCTAATATTCTTAATGAAAGCAAGAAACTCGGCATTGTTTGAGGTACACCTTATGAGATTACATTAAAATTTGAGTAAATTTCCTTCCTAAGGTGCACCTCAAGCAACATGGTTTAAGTTATGCCCATTTAGATACCCATGTCCAGTTTCCTCACTTGTCCGCTCCACAGGCAAAATTAGTGTTTTTAGAGGAGAGGGGAAAAAAAAAAAAGTATTGTTTGTTCTGTAACCTATTCACAGTTCTTCAAAGCCTTAAATGCATTTAGAAACAACATTTCTAAAACTGAGCATTTTTTTTAAAAAAAACTTGGCCTTGTATAATATGAAACTTCCTAGATGTTCCAAGCGTGGGTATTTCTAATTACAAGCTGTCCTGCAAAGTTTGATTTTCAACCAAACAAAATCCATGCTGAAGAAATGGAGATGCATATATATGTGTACACATACCTAGACATTCCTACCCACATTAACTGGTGGAATGACATTACTTAAAGGCCACTTTAAAGTACATGAGCCACCAAGCAGCCATAGTTTCATCTGACTGAGCACTACACAGCTGCTAATTCATGTCATATTGCAAAGGAAATTAAAACCAGAAGCTCACCTGTATATTATCAAGCAGATACGCAGGGTTAGATAGGTACTTACATGTTCAAGCAGCCCCATTTAGCTAAAAGGCAATATTCTTCACCTCCTTCATTGCACAACACGAGATCCCAAAAGCCATTTTAAATGCAAAATAAGTTACTGCGCTGCTTACAAAAGATTTAATACTTGAAGCACTAACAGCTTAAAATACCCAGTATTTGCAAAGATGTTAAGGAAAATGAAGGTCTGCAGATTTCAGCCAGGAAACTCCTTCCAGCTCTAATTCTCAAACTACTGGTGTGATATGACACTGTTACTGCTAGATGATGAAATTTATTGGAGAAGTCAGTTATTTCCTGGAATGTTGCTAAAATTCTCTCCTAAAGGTTAATGGAGCAAAGGTGACAGCTGTGGTTTCAATTCAGCCTCCATCATACTGCCCAGGGACCCCTGAGGACGACATACAGGTGCTCAGGTGAATGAACATGAGATACCCTTGTGGATTCATGACCATACAACCACAAAACCATGCATATTTTCATTTTTTTTTTCCTGGGGTAACTGGAACATTTAATTTTATTTAGAAATAGGCTGAAATCTGCAAAGTTCAAATTCTGGATCATAGTGTTTTCCAGAACTCAGAGCTAGCTGCCATGTAAAAATGGGTGTCATTTCTTATAGCACAGCTAGGATAATCATCACAGCTGGTCTATATAAGTGCTGTTGGCAGGAGTTAGATTAAACTAAATCAAATTCACAACCCATTTATTTTTTATTTGCCCTATCAGAGTTATAAAGCAGTAATAAGCCCACCATAGCATCAATTAGCTTCTCCCACTTTGGTGTGATGAAGTACCAGATTCCAGCTCCAGCACCTGGCAAGGTTACTCCTCTTATGAGCAGGATAATGAGAACCACATAGGGAAATGTAGCTGTAAAGTACACCACCTGAGCAAACCAAAAAGGAAAAAAAATAGTTACCAAAAGCACTTATTTGGATCTGTAAGAAGAGTGAAAAAAAAAAAGAATGCAAGTGCTACATTCTTGCCTGGAAAAGGCAATAACCCATGATCAGAGGCAGGAGCTAGGGATTAAGACCAGCTGGCCAGCAAGGTTATTTCCTAAAAAACTTGTTAGAGTTGACATTGTTCACAGCTGTTCTTGTGTGTCAACAGACACAGCAAAAAGAAATGAGATTCTAGAGAGATACATAAAGAATAAGCAAAAGAGAAGAAATGGCAGGAATTTAGAGCTAAGTAGCTAGAATAAGATAAAACGGCTAGAAATGAGCAACATCATACTATACTTGTTGAAGTTTAGGTTTTTGTTTGTTTGGTTTTTATCTGTAACATTCTTCTTAACTCATTCATTATCTTAACTAAGTCGGTGGAGGTCTCATTAGGCTTCGTTTGTACTTCTTAATGATCACGTAGTTCCATGAAAACAATTACGGGCACAATGCAAAAAGGCTCTGAAAATATCCAGATAGACCTAATAATCATCTTAATGAGGGTATGTGTTTAACATTGATTAGTTAATAAGCTCACACAGAGCCATCTTTGAGGCTGGACACCATGGCAGAGTTATCGTCTGTTAGGCAGGACACTCTACCCCAAGCCTGTAAAGTCTGTTATATCTTAGCCTCAGTCTTACAGCAACCAAAATTGTTTAAGTGACTTTTGCTACTGCTTTCCCAGGTTTCTCCTGGCTGCTTCAAGGGGCATTTCATGGAGTTACTCCGATCAATATTTGTACAGAAAGGATTTCAGTAATATCTGAAATATTCAGTAGTATTGCAACTGTTTTTCTTACTTTTCCTGATGACTTGATTCCTTTAGCAAGAGAGGCATATACAATCACCCATGCTAGGAAAAGAGACAGCGCCAAGGGCCATCTAATCTCACCAGGATATTCAATTCCTGCAAATCAATACAAAATACCTAGAAATAATAATAATAATAAATTAAAAAATAATGATGATAGAAACTGCAGGCAGTTCATTGCAAATTCCTGTGGTAGAGACAGTGCATTGCTTTATATCTCCGAGTGCTTTCTCTAGAAGCTTCCAGTGAAGTGCACCATGTATTATTTTATTTATCTGCATTGCAGTAGTAGATAAAAACGCCAAGCCTGGGCCAGCACCCCAGCTGTGCCAAGCACAAGAACAAAAATAACACATCTCTAGAAATTTAGCTTTTGAGGTTCCTATGCCTAAACAGGCATCCTATCATTAGGTATTCCTAATCTTCCAAATGGCTAAGTACTGCGTCAATCACTGCAGATTTTAAAGGAAAAGTAGCCTGGCATCTCCAAACAAAGCAAGATTTTACTTGAAATATTCTTCACTTCCGCTGACAAATGTCTTGTTTCCTTGGCTGGTGAAGTTAACCATGGTCAAGTTGGGATAGGCGCTCATACAGAAAGTGGAGTTCTTGATCTGTATCTTTGGGTGATCACCGACAATGCAAGAATCTAAGAAGAAAATAAAGCAAAGAGGAAAAATACCTGGTTGCGGGTAAATGATAGTGTACAGCATTGTGCAATGCAGATCCGCTTAAACTGCTGTTCTGCATTAAGGTCCTGCAACTCCTCTCTTGCAAAAGCTGCGAGCAGCTCAGAGCACTAATCCGCGAAATCTCTTTCACATGGTCAAAAAAGTCTGGGAAACCGGGAGCGGGAAACCGGGGTCCCCCCAGTCCCCTCCCCGAGGGTCTTAGCGAAGCGGGGCGGGAGGGGGGGAGGACGTAGCACTCGTTTTCACTTGCCGATTTGCAGCTTATTATACGCTTTTGACGGGCCATAAAACACGTTTTCGTTCTTTTTTTTTATTTATTTATTTTTAAAGTCATATTCAGCCTCGGTGAGAACGATGATTAATAAAAACCGACTGATTTCCGTAGATTTTCCGCATTGGCGCAGGGCAGTCAAGGCGGCTCCAGAGGGACAACCCACAACCCCCCCCGCCTCCGCCCGACAAAAAAAAAAAAAAAAAAAAAAAAAAAAACCCGACTCACCTAATAAAAGTTTGTTTTTATCTTTACAATCCGGAGTGTTCCAGGGATTGTTACAGGAAGCCCAAGGTAGCACGGGTACAAAGGATGCAAAAAGATAGAAAAGAGTGTAGCACAGGATAATATTGTAATATATGGCTATCAGAACAGAGATGATGAGCATCGCAATGCCACAGCCTACGGGGAGAGGGAAAAGAAAAGAGAGAAGGGGAGATAAGAACGCAATTAATCGCTGCACAGAGAGCTCTGGACGGAGAGTCACGGCCGCCGCCAAGGAGTGATTTTGTTTGGGGCAGTTACAAAGTGCGTTTCCGAAAGGAAGGGAAGGGGGGAAAAAAGAAAAAAAAAAAAGAAAAAAGGACGTTAATGTTAGGGCGAGCGCTGGTCGCAGTGAGGGGCCGCAGCTGCGCGGCCGCGGAGCCCGCAGCGCCGCTCACCTTGCAAGGCGGGGATGGCTTTCCAGACCGACACGGGCCCCTGGCTGGCAAACTGCCCCAGGGAGACTTCCAGGAAGAAGATGGGGATCCCCGCGAGGGCCAACATCATCAAGTAGGGGATGAGGAAGGCACCTTGGGGCGGGAGGGCGAGAGGAGAGAGAACGACCTGAGTTACGGCGCTGCGCGGATCGGTCCCCCGTATCTAAAACACCCCCTTTGTAGTTTCGTATTTCGATAAGAAAAGACAACCTGCTTGTTTTTTTTTGTTTGTTTGTTTGTTTTTTGGGGGGTTTTGGGGTTTTTGTTTGTTTGTTTTCTTTCCTCTTTGTTTCCTTTTAAAAGACCGGTCCTTTTGTAAATCACTAGCTCTCTGGCGCGGTCCTTGCGCAACTGTTACTTAAAATGCCCGCAGCGTCTCCCTGCCGCAGGAGGCGCAAGGAGGTCGCACCCACCCGTGTCACAAGTTTAACGAGAGCCGATGTTGAGAGGCTCTTTGCAAAGAAATCCCTTTTTTCCCTCTCTCTCCTTTTCTTTTCTTTCCTCCTTTAACCTATTAATGCCCCATCTCCTCTCACAACTTTTTTCCTCCTCTAATTCTCCGAGCAGAATCCGCTCTGTTTCAAATGATATTTTTTCCCAGTCTGTCATGATGAGGTTAGGAAGAAATTCCCCGCATTGCTCAAAGTAACACACGTCTCGGATCAAAAGTCTTTCGGCTTCCCTCCCTCTCTTCCCTCCCGCTGCCCCCGTTCCCCCACTTGCGCTTCAGACCCGACTGCGTTTAAACCGGCTGGTGGGAGAAAGAGCTGGGTTTCATCCCCGAAGCTCTTCGAGCTCCTCCCTCTCCAGCCCATAGATGTTTTTAGGAAAAGCACTATCTGCCAATTCTCTCTTTCCACAACTTCCCTGTGCTATTTGACCATTGTTATTTAACAGAAATCCCAGCGAGGGTTTAGCTGGAGGCGCCTGGAATCTCCCTCTCCACCTCCCTGTGCTCGGCCCCTTGCGGTACCACAGGAAGAGAGACAGGAAAAAGCTGGCATACCTCCCCCATTCTTAAAGGCCAGGTACGGGAATCTCCAGACATTGCCCAGCCCCACCGCATAACCCACCATGGAGAGGATGAAATCCAGCTTGCTGGACCAGTTCCCTCGGGCTTTATTTTCATCCCCTGCATCGTCTTCCTAAAGCGGGGAGAGGGGAGAAAAGAAAGGTCGCAAAACGGCCGCGGTTGCAAAACCGTGCGGGGGCGGCAGGCAGGAGCTTCTGCACCGGGGACCCGCCTGGGGCTCCCCTCCGCGCCCCCCGCCTCGGCTGGGGACCCCAGGGCAGCGCTCGCAGCGGGGTGAGGGGCAATGGCTCGGGGATTTCGCCTTGCGTTTGGTTACAGGCTCCGAGGCATCCAAGCGCCAGGGCTTGATGCGCACCGAGCCCAGCGAGCCCCAGCTACGAGGGCGAGAGCGGAGCAACGAGCCGGCAACTCCTGAGCGGCTTTTATACTGATACTACACTATTAGCAAGCGCCCCCCTTAGCTATGATCCTCTCCTCTTCTTCCCTCCGCCCTCCCCATCGAACCACCCCAGCATCGACCTGCTCTGGGGTCGCTCAGGAATTACTACTTTTTTTCGAGTTTCAGCCACAAACGGGTGCTGCATGGCAAGGATCTCTCGTTTGCACGAGATGGAGGATTGGGGATTAGAAAGTATAAGGAGCCAACTTACCCCCTCGACTCTGCCAGGGAGAACAGAAGTGTTGCCATCTGCGCCCAGCACCACAGTGCTCTGGCTCAAGGTCGCCCAGGCGCCTTTGGCGTCGTTTTGCTCCAGCGTGTTCTTGCTAAGGTTCAGAGTAGCGTCCCCGACTGTGCTTTGCAAAGCGGGAATTTTGCAGTGAGGGATAATAGCCTGCCCGGCGGCTCCTGCCCCCGGGGCGAGCTGGTACGGAAAGGTCTCTAGAGATTCCCTGCGGAGGGGGGAGTTGGCTTGCACCGGGGTGCTGCTGAGCTTGCAGATCCCGACTTTGGTCCTCTCCAAATCGTTTGCTTTGGTTTCTTCAGAGGCGAGAGTTTTGTTGTCGCTAGAGAGCGAGCAGGGCGGCCTGGGCAGCGTCGCGGCCAGGGCTTGCGGTGGGACGCTCTGCGGCTCATTTTCGGGGTTGATTCTTACGACTCCCGCACCTTCGTTTGGTCCAGGAGCGACTGTTTCGGGGCTGTTGACAATCTGCTTGTTCATATCCCTTTGACCGGCGTAATCCTAAAATAACAACGTCACATATTTTTTAGAAAAGAAAAATAAATAAATATGTTAGGACCGCATAGATTTTACGAATTTATTTTCCTGTGCGCAAAACGCCTGCACTAGGAAATGGGGATAGAAAAGTGTTGGCTAATTTCGAGGTGCCCTGGCTCAGCCCCCTTGCCTCCTCTTTCAGCATTAATTTTCTGGGGCAGAAAACAGTAAGGAAGAGTGGCTTCAACGCCGTAATTCGAGTTTTAGATAAATGTTCCTATGGCACTGCGCCGCCAGACCTCGTTAGATTTCACATCACGGCTGCAGGATGCTCCCTTCCCTATCGCCAGTGTAGAAAGAATCTTTAATTTTACGCCCCATTTCCTTTCTGTCATTCAGCAATGCACATTGGCGCTTTTTTTTTTCCCTCCTTCCATATAGGCGATAGACAGACAAGCTGCCCTGTAGGCAGTCGAAGATGCTTTAAAAAAAAAAGAAAAAAAAAAAGGAAAAGAAAAAAAGAATCACGAAATAGTGCCAGTGAGCATTTCTGAGCTAGTTGTTATCTGCTAAAACCTGACACTGAGAAGAGGAAATAACCGCAGCGCCACGGCTGAATTACAGTAATTAATAGCTGCCTTACTATCTCCTATCTCATATTTTCGACCCCCAAAACTCTAAATCCTAAATTTTGTAAACGTTCCCTTTTAGGTTAAATAAGTTACTGAAGCCTCGTCCCTTGATTTTTTCATAAATTTTAAGTTATCTTTTTTCCAAACCTGTCCGGGATGAGGCTACACAAACTGCCCTTCGCTGCTGCTGCTGCAGGTTTTCTCCTCAGCCTCCGCAGCCGCAGTCCCGCGGGGGTAGGAGCCGCTCACACGGGCTCGGTAGCCACTTGTGCCACCTCCCGGCCACCTCCGCACCCGCGCTGGGCAGCGGCTCCGCGCTCAGCACCGCGGGCAGCTCCCCCCGGCGCCGCTTCTCCCAGTGCCCCCCAAAACGTACCCCAACAATAAGTTTTTTTTAAAACGTACCCCAAAAATAAGTTTTTTTTTTTTTAATCAAACAAGGACTCCCCCTCCACACACATTCCCCGACAGCTTTTCTAAGTCTCCAAGAAAGGAAAGCGAGCACTTACCATGCCTTAAATAGCAACAGATTGGGTGGGTAGAGGTAAAAACAGCAGTAGAGGCAGTTGGCAGACTGGATTTTGCTCACTCCAGAGCTAAGCTTTCTATACTTCCTTGGGAAAGACTGGGTTTGCGTCAGTGCATAGCAAGGTGCCCTTCGTTTGACATTTTCGTGATAATAAGAGTTTGATAAATCATTACCCCTGGATTCAGATTTTAAAGGGACATCCAGAAGCCAGAGCGCTGCCGAGCTGTCAGTCGCGCGGGAGCGGGATTGCGTGGTCAGGGTGACTCATATGGGGGCTGACTACTAAACCAAGCCTGCCAGAGCACGGCACAACTTTCTCCCTGGTAAGCAGGGCGGGGGACATGTGGGAAACACGTCCTCCTGCACCCAAGGCAAGAGAGCTGGGGGGAGAAACCTTCCATTTCTACCTCTCTACCTCACCCCTTCCTTATTACGCTGTGCGATTAAGCTCCCTGTAGCGTCACCTCTGCATTTCTGCAGCGCACAGTGGATACTTAATATATAAAAACATATAAATACATGCATAAAGTATTTCGCTATGCGAGTATAGTGCACAAAAACATTTTAATTATGACTGACACCAGTTGTACCATCACACTCCAAGCTAACATCTTCATTTTAAGGTGCTTTGCGATGGAGAACCCCAATCCTAAGTAAACCGAAGTGATGCACAAAATAAATCAAATTTCTCCTTCGTCAAGGTTATCCAAAGAACCACTAAGAGCGAGCAAAGATGAAGGCAGATGTTCTTCTTCTCTGAGAAGCGGGGAGGAAATGCTCATTAAAAGTCAGGCGTTAATTTGACTGGACTCATTCTTGCAATGAAACCACCCACCCATAACGATCTTTCAGAAGCGCTCTTTGCCAGGAGGAACTTTCCCGCAGATTTCTGGGGCACAGGGTAACTTTGTTCGCATTTAAGAAAGAAAAGACCCATGGGCAAATCTGCATGCTCCCTAATTCACCTTCCCGTTGTCTCAGCGTCAAAGCGCTGCTGTCCTTCCACGCACACACTACTAGCGTCAGCTTCTCCTCGTATAGTATATATGCGTGTATATATATACATATATATAATGATATTTTAGCATAAACAATATGAAGGGCGAGTCTGTTGGGAAAGTCCGAAATGTTTAACTCCCCAATACCAAACACATTCCTTACTACGTCTTTGAGCTTAGGGGTTGCCAAAGCGTGTTTCAATGGACAGAACACATAATAATAATAATAATAATAATAATAATAAATCCAATCACCTAGATAGTCCTACGCAGCCCCCCGGTGCCTGCTGCCCTCGCGAGGTGACCGAGGGGCTTCGCTCCGCGGCGGGGGGCGCGTCCCGGGCGAGAAGCATCGAAAGCACCTGCGAGGAAGAGGGGGGGAAAAAAAAAAAAGTCTTCTAAAGCAAAGCAGAACACAGAAAATCTTTTTGTCCTTGTTGCTTTGGGGGGGTTGTTTTTGTTTCTCCGAAAAGATCACTGGCTCTCATGACTGTAAAACGTCTTTGCCTTAGAGCAGAGGTTCAGGGCGTTTTTACAACACAGCTAACGCTATTTTTTTCCGTTGTTGTTTCAGTCGTATTCAGGCAAACATGTGTGCCTACCTTCTCTTTCTAGATAAATAATTATATTGCGTATAATATATATATGTATTTTTACATACGCGCACTTCCATATACGGATCGCTGTGGGTTTCTCTTTTCAAATACCCTCTTCTTCCCGTGTTTTTCGATACGTCAGCCCTTTAACTATCAGGAATAGGGCGAGACGTGTAGAGAGATATTTATCGGGGCAGGTGTGGGGTAATCGCCGGTGTTTTGCGAGGGTTCTTTGTTAGCCGTACCCTAGCCCAGGGCAACCCGCTTACAGCCAGCGGATGCAGCAGGGTCCTTAGCAGTTAACGCTGCTTTTCAGCCTGCGTCTCTAAAGGCACGCGGCAAATTAAAAGTGACGAGGCAGGAATTCGATAAGTATTTTGGTCAGAAAGACCCTTAAAGCCTCATCTGGATTGTCAGGGATTACATTATTATGAAAACTGGCTAAATTCATCCCTCACATTCCTGTCCAAGCAACGGTCTTTCCGATCAGCACGGAAACGTGAAATCAAGGTTTCACCTTTCGAAAAGAGGAATTTATCTCCTTTACTTGCACAAGACCCCAGAATGCCAGTCTTCGCCGCAGCCCGATCGCGCTGGGGGGGACGTGGAGAGGCTCCAGCCCAGGGCACGGGGGAGAACCCACAAAGAAACACAGAAACTCGGGTTTCAAGTGTTCTCCCCTTTACTAATATACCGATATACTATCGAGACCCTAAAGCCAACCTTCCTCCAAACCGACTCTTTGTTACACAGGAGGTCTCAGGCGGCACCACCTGCCCTTGATACAAGCGGCAATAAGCTACGCTCCGTTACTCTTTTTCTTTTTTCGGTCTTTTTGTCTTTTCTGAGGTGTTGTTCCTTTCAAAAACGAAGCCCGCAAAGGTGGGTCTCCCGGTCAGCGGTGAGCTCGTGTTAACGCGGCTTTTCTGAGCTTCTGCTGGGTTTCTCCCAGCCCTTTCCAGGGGTCTATGGCACCGCGAGCTTCTGCAGCGCCCCGAGGTGCTCGAGCAAAGAGGACGAGGCTGCCGCTGCCCCCGCACCCGCCCCGCTCCCTCCCGCGCAGCGGCGGGACCCTTCGCCCTGCCCGGTACCCACGGACGGACGGAGGGACCCGCGGCTCCTTTTCCCGCTCCGAGGAGCCGCCGCAGCCCCGCGGAGCGGATAACGAGCGAGCCCCGGCTTAATTACTTTGTCAAGGATGAAAAATAGCGATTGATTTCCCCCCTCCTCCTTCCCCGTCCTCTCTCCTTCGCAAAGGTGCCCACGCGGGGGAAAGGAGGGGCTGCCCGCCCGCAGGAACCCGCACTTTCCCCAATTACGACTACCCCGCGCCTCCTGCGAAAAAAGCCAGGACAAGCCGAGTCAGCCCCCGAGCCAGCAGCGAAAGCGCTCTAAAAAAAGCGCAGAGCTCGGCGGCACCCCCGCCGCAGCGCCCGCCCTCGGCTCCCTCCCTGCCGCGGGGTGATGTGGAACTCCTGGGTTTAAACCTGCCTCCCTTCTCCTTCCTTCCTTCCTCTGCAAAGTTGGGCTAAAACAGATGCGGGCACAAAACTTGCGCCGCCTCCCCAGGAGTCCCAGCCGCAGCTTTTAGCAGCTTTCACTGCCCCCGCAAACGCGCTGCTCTCGAGTCACCGCTTGTCTTATCGCAAACGCTCCGTTAGCATTGCGAGTTTTATTTTTAAGAGTAAAGAGGTCAGGAAGATGCATTTAAATACTGCACATGAAAGACATTGATTAATCTTTATGCGCGCTTTGCAGATAAGACCCGCAAATGTGCTTTGCACTCGACTTTTAGACTTAGCGGGGCTATCGAGGGGGGTGAATTTAAACGAGTCCTTAGCGAGTGTGAGAAAATCTTTCCTGCTCTCATCTCTGACCTGATCGATGCGAGTGCACAGATGTGCTCGGGCATAGGAATTCTCCCGCTATAGAAATAATCCCAGTATATACGTATAAAAAACCTACCCCACCTAGGGCTTTGAGATCTTGCTGAGAAGCTTGGGGCAACACAGAAATACTGATTATTTGTACGCACTATATATATATATATATGTCTTATAGTTTTAACCGATATAACCGTTTGACTACAACGAAGCTCAATGCAAAGGTATGAAAAACATTGCAGTCATCCAGCTGCAACATAACAAAACCAACCAAAAGCAGATACTGAAAAGCCAGTTCTTGCAAAGTAACATCTCACTCCATATATATATATGTGTGTGTGTTTTGCTCCTTTCATTCTAGCCGT